ACATGATTCTGTGTTTTCCTGGAACAAATGAATCCATCTTTTGATAGAGTCTCCAAAGTTAAATACCTCCAGAGTTTTTTTAATAAAAGCCCAGGAAACTGTATCAAAGGCCTTTTCGAAATCGATCAGCAATAACATCCCAGCTATATTTTGTTTTTGTGTCTCAAAAATCACATCATGTATTAGCCGAATATTTTCGCCGATAAACCTTCCGAGGATAAAACCCTTTTGATCTTGATGAATTAGGATGTCAAGAACTGACTTGATTCGTTCAGCTATGCAAGATGACATAATTTTATAGGTGAAATTTAACAGAGAAATTGGACGCCAGTTTTTCAAGAGATTGCGTGGTTTACCCGTTTTTGGAATGCAAGTGATGACACCTTGTTTTTGGGTAATGGACATTGAGCTATTATCGTATGCAGAGTTAATTGAACGGAGTAGAAAATGTCCAATATCATTCCAAAAGAATTTGAAAAATTCAGCAGTATAGCCATCTATGCCTGGGCTTTTTTTTGTTTTTCGATCTTTTTAATGCATCTAGGAGTTCATTATGTGTGATTTGACCTTCAATGCTATGTCTTTCTTTTTCTGATAGGGTTGGTATATCTTCTAAATTCAGTTTTTCAAAAAAGTTGGCATTGTCAACAACATCACTTCTACATGAATATAAATTTTCATAGAATATTTAATTGTTGTGTCCGGAGGATTTCCTTTCTTTGTGTTACTAAGGTCCCATAATCTTTTTTTAATTACAGTATTTTTTTATTAATATAGTTACGATTTTCTAAATTACAAAAATATGAGGTTGGTTTTTCACCATGTTCATGCCATCTTGCTCTCGATCTAATTATTGTCCCTTTAATACGGTTATCACGAAGGTCTTCTAACTCTAAATTTAATTTCTCCAAAGCAACTAAATTTGTTTCTGCCGTGATGGAGTTTTCTTTTATTTGTTTGTCGAGGCTAAAAATCTTTTCCTCTAAATTTTTTTCGAAATGGCAATTTTCGCGCTTTTTGCGGGATGCATAAGAGATAATTCTTCCTCTTACATGAACTAAGAGTTTCCCAAAACAGTTGGTCATCAATATGGAGCTGGAGGTCTTTACATGGACAGTTTTCTATGTAATCTGGATTATATGGAGTGGCAGCATATATGGATTTCATAGTTGCTATTTCTTTTTTGATTAATTTAAAGTGATTACGTCACGAATTTCTAGCACCAGCAAGTAGTACATTTGTGTGTTATTTGTACAAAATAAAATGTATGAAAATACAATTAGTGTTTCTATTTACTTTTCATGCTTATATACCTTCTTTATATGCCCTAATTTGCCGGTGAAAAACAGAGAGACGCCAGTATCTGAACAGTACTGGGGGAATAGGTTAGACAACAGAAATTACCAAATCGTCTAGATTTTTGCAAATTTAACCAACGTAAAAACATTTTTATCAGGTGAGAGTTTGAGGATATATTTAGTAACGTTAGTTCTTACTTTTAATGTAAAGAAATGGCAATTTTTTTTTTACAAATTTTACCATAGAAAATTCGTGACGTAGAAATACGTAGAAATTCGTAGAAATACGTAGAAATTCGTGACGTAGTGAAATTTCGTTCGTAACAAAATTTTGATCTTTCAGTAGTAAATTATTAAATTTCCAGTACCCCTTTCAATGTTTTTCAGAGACTATGTTTATAGTGATATTAACTGGGGCATGATCGGATTTATATTTGGGTAGTATGTGGGCATTTGAAAAAATCGATAGTAAGTTTTCTGTAGCAAGAAAGAAGTCCAAGCGTGCCATTTTTATTGGATTTTTTTTTGACCATGTGTAGTGTCTTTCATTTTCGTGGAATATTCTCCATACGTCTATTAGGCCTCTTTCGGCTATAAAAGATAGAACGCTGCTCCGAGCTCTTGGGTTGTTAACTGATTTATAGTTAAAGAGATCTTTCTCTGTGTCTAGAATTAGGTTCCAATCTCCACAATAAACATAGTTTACATTGCCAAAGTCTTCAATAATATTAAATATATTGGTATAGAAGTCGGGCTTATCCTCGTTTGGTCCATAAAGATTAACCAAAGTAATTTGCATTTGGTTTTCGATTGTAATATCTAGTACAATATAATTTCCACAAGGGTCTATTTTACTTCGGTGTACTTTGTATTCGAAACCAGTGTTAAATAAGATTGCCACACCTCTAGCATTTGATGTGAATGGACCTATAATTGCACTTAGACCCCATTCTGCCCCGACCCGATTTACAAATTTTGGGTCGATATGTATATCTTGTAAGCAAACAATATGTATGTTCTGTTCCCGAAATCTTTTGAAGAAGTCCCTACGCTTAAATGGATTGACCATGCCTCTAGTGTTAGAGATTGAATATTTAACTGGGCCATTTTGTTTGTTTGTTTTTTACTGACCTATTTTGTGGTGATTTTCTAGGAATAGCGATGCAGGACATATGATATAAGTGGTACATGTAGAGCTGATGCTCATGTATAAATATATGTATACATTTCAGGAAATAATGTTTTAAACAGGTAAACATATAACATAGAAGACACACAGGACCTACAAACATACAAGTACGAGCGTTTATACTGGATGCATTGTGTTCTATATAGATGTATGTTCTAAACAGCATATAGGCACTCGTACAGGACAACACAAACACACAGTACACATAAGTCCACGGCGTGACTGCCATAGACAGTACGTAAGACTAGCACATCTGGTCCCATATCTAATAATTATGCGCACGCGGCTATGCTACTTGATCGCTGTGATATAATATACACAATTGATGTGCCTTAGTGAATACAGCTGAATGAATTATAAAGTGTTGTAGAAAAGTAATAGAAAGAAACAGGCAACACTATTTAGGGCTACTATCTTGCAGAAATTTGTTTACGCACCGCAACATTCATGACTTCGTTAGTAACCGTTGAAAATTAAATAGTGTAATGCCGTAATGGGTACGTAGCATGCCGAAATATACGCAGTACTAGTAATGTACGTACTACTTATACGTACGTGTGGTCAAAGAACTGCTGATTTACTGCCTGCGCATACCAGCAAATAGTTATTACGGTAAATAAAAAATAATAATAGAAATGCGTGTTCTCTGAATGTGAAATCATGTTGCGATTTATCCGACTAAACATTTAAAACCGAATATAAAAAAGAAAAGAAAAACTTGAACGTATATACGATTTTTTAAACCCGTCATTTTTAGAACTATTAATACTTCACTGATAGTGATATTATTGTTCGGTCATTCTTTCTTTTTCCAAGAGTCTGCACTGTTTTTTCTTGTTTCGATGAAAATGTCCGTCCCCCGCTCGACGACTCTTGCCTGTAGTTCACCGTTTTTCCTCGTCTCATACGCCTCGTGGGCCAGTGCTCCTCTTTTTGCTTTTAGCTCAGGCGGCAAGTCAGTGCGGATGCTGTATTTCTTGCCAGCTAAATGTTTTCCTGACCTTAAAAAGGCTTCTCTCTCCGTCCAGTATAGGAACACGAGTATGATAGGCGTTTGTCCGAGAGAGCGCTTTTGAAGGCGATGTGCGTTTCTGATGGTTAGACGTTTTGCGTAGCCTTCTTCGTACTGTAGATGTTCAACAGCGAATTTTCGCACGCGCTCAATCGTTCCTGCCGGTTAGGTTTCGTGGCCTTCAACTCCGTAGATAAGTAGATTGTACTTGCGGCTATGTGTTTGGGCCACAAGCAATGACTGCCGAAGATCGTTGATTTCTCGTTTCACTGTTTGCATCTGTTCTTGAGTTTCGTTTTGCACCTTTTTCACATTGTCGACGTCCATTTCCAAACTGTCGATCTTTTCCGTTAACTGTGTTATTTTTTGCTTTACTTCTTCGAAACCAACAAAGATGAGTTGTTTGAGTTCAGCATTTGTGACCTCGTTGCTTACGTTAGCGGCCGCCATTGTTGTTGAAGTTGAACCGGCCGATTCAGTATCCACGGAAATGTTCTGTTTCTCTTTTCTTGCGCTATTTTGGCGAGTTAGATAATGATGGATACTTTCCTTACCCACTTTTGATTTACCTCTTCTCATGCTACGCTGCCTGTTATGCCTTGTTCGTTAATCATTCGTTTTCTTGCTGGAAGCGATGCTACACCCGTCTTACACCACAGTCGCCATGACACTTATGAACCGATCTTGATGATTGATGCCGTTTTTGATGGGTTTGTAATTGCTGCATATCAAAAGGGTCAAAAGTATTTTGGATAACTTACCAGAATAATAGGAACCATGTCAATTCATCTTCTATTGATCCTATATGCATTAAAAACAGCAATTTTCTATTTTGCATCTTTGAGATATTAATCTTGTTGTTATAAACTGTTATTGCGGTGGGCGTGCGTGCGTGGGGTCATACCAGCTGTATGCCGGTATGCCGGTATGTAGCTGTATGCCGAGTGAAAGGTTATCTCGCCGAGTGTTGCGTCGATGTCCAATCTCCCAGCGAGCCACACCACATCGCCGAGCGTTAGTAGCTGCGTTTTGTTTCAAGTTACGCGAAAAATACATTGGGATTGATGGCAACAGAATGGATAATCGTGTCGTACGTTTTAGTCTGTATCTCCGGATTGCAGGTGTATACGAGGAAACGATTTCGCACGATGCTAGGCGAATGTACTGTGTACGATTTGAGCTCAAGTTGGTTGAGTTACGCGTAGTAAATCGTAGGTATTTTAAGGCTAGTAAATGACGAATTTTCCTTGTTTATTGAAGTCACACTCCTTCCCTATTATCTACTCCTGATATTTACTGATAAAAAATAGTATACACATATCGAATCATGGTTGCTTTCTTATAATAGAAACAAACGGCATGAATATGGTTTTTCAAGTTGATGTATGGCACTCATGTATTCCCTGTTTGAGGGAGACTAGAGGTCATTGTCTTCCAGAATCATTTCAAATTTTTTCTTGCTAAGGGAATAAGATACATTACATACTCAGTTTGTACTTACAGGCTCCCATCTTCACCAACCATCTCATCCGTTGCAATTTCAATGTCTGTCAGGAATTTGCCAACTCCTATACCAAAAGGGATTACATTCATTAAATTATATTACTATATAAGCATTGGATCAAGAGCTAATAATAACTCTATTATAGGTATTATTAACTCTCGATTGGATGTTATAAATACTGTCTGGCATGATTCTTTCTTCTGAACTTACCATTACTGCTAATGTACAATACAATGTCAGAATTTTGTGATGTTTTTAATACATAAAAAACATGTTGTTATTAAAGGTGAGGTGAAAATATGGTTTATAGTGATTTTTTAAAAACGTGATGCAGATTTGGCAGTGGCATCTAATAATCTTTGAGGTTTTAAGGTTGCATAACGATGACTTCTGTACTGTACCTTGGAGATCTGTCAATATCAATTTCCTCTTTGTGAATTCATGCGCATAATAAGCAAGCGCTAAAACAGCATGTTGCATACTGTTTTGGTCCCCATCGTCATCTACCTGAATCATCTCATTTCCAATGTATTTTACAAATTTTTCCCTCCAAGAATGGCTCGACTATCGCTGACTTTCCACCGCTACCAACAAACAGATAAGGTGTGATAACCCTATATGAACAGAAAAAAACGATTTCAACTAAAGATGTAATAATTACATTGTTATACTAGATGTGTCTTGTGGCATTCAACAAAATCTACTAAATTAAATGTAGGTTATGTGTGTAAATGACAGGCTTCAAGATTTTCAAAGGGAAATTTCTGACTCACACAGGTTTCTTCTCAAAAGTAGCTGGCAGTTTGTTGGAAAACAAAGCACACAATTGCTGTGACACTACTTGACCTTGCACAGCCTGGTAAATAATGAAAGTGTCAATGACACTGTAGCTCACCACAAAAAAGGACACAAATGAGTGAGAAGAAGTCAGTTTTAATTGAGCAACCATCGACATACATTATAGAAACGTATAATGGGAGAACTCCCATTATATACTCTTGATAATTATGTTTAATTTTTTTATGTGAAAATAAATGTTTGAGATGTGAAAGTCTGAGATGTGGGCGAGTGATGGCGTTACACCAAAATGATCACCATTTAACGTTTTTATAATATTCAGATTTAGGCACTGCCTAAAAGCGGAGCTGCCGATGTGTAACGTGTAAGATTGAGAGGATACGCTTATTCCATGTAGCTGCTATATACCACGGGACAATGGAGTTTCCCTGCCCATAACACAACTTTTGTCAAAGGTTAATTGGTTGCATGGAAGTGTTTACTTCGTATGAGTTTTTCTAGGCGGTAGAACACGGTTGCCATCTGTATATCGCAATAATAATTTATAAACCAAAATGAATCACAATTTGTGATGGTAGATATATACCCGCTTTAATATTTCTTAGCGATGGCGTTCAAAATAAATAGGTTATGCTGCGTTCCGACGTGTTTTGTAAAACTTTACTCTAATATAGACGTTTTATCGGCAGGGTGGAGAGGAAATACCAATTTTGCATTAAAGATATTGTCAATGAAATCTTGTAAAATGAACCAGACGAGTGTGACACCACAGACTGTTTGTTATCTGCGTGTCTATATAATATGCTATATAATTGCCAAAACCTACCTCATTTGCATAATCTTTTTTAAAATCTCAAAACCCCTAGCCCTTATTCATTCACATACCAAAAATAAGCAAAATCCGTTGAATCTGAACTGACTAATGGCAATTTCCATTTTTGCTAAAAAATTGCCGTGGCTCGAAAGTACGTCGACTGGTGTGCTCCAAAATAGGACGTTCAATATGGGAGCAAAGCAGAACTATACCCAATTTCAAACATGTGGGTCAAACGGTTCCTCAGTTATCGTTGACCGTAGCCAAATGTTGACAGAAGGACGAACGAACGGACAGACGGACGGACGGACGGACGACGGACGACGACCCATGGCAATAGCTCAGCTGGACGATGTCAAGGTGAGCTAAAAAATTTTATGTTTATCAGTTTTGCTGTTGAACTCTAAACCTATTCTCCAGAAATAAACTATAATCTTGTGTTGACTAGTGCCACACCAGGAACACCCATGGAAACTAGAATGGCATAGTCTATAGAAGATGCATACAGCATATTTCCCTTCGATTCATTTCCTGCGCCATCATTTCAACCTGTAAAAATTAATTAATTAATTTACATGTATCAGTTTTGTAAATAATGTAGCATATGAATAACTAGAAATGGCAGTTGTCGCCAACCACATGTATCCCCCACGATCTAGTATGAATGAAATATCTCTTGGTTTTGGTACGCGACACACCTTCTCCCCAAGATGTGTAAGTATACCAAGTTTGGTCACGCTAGGTCAATTAAGGGCCAAGTTATAGAGCGGAAGGAAAATATGATCAAGGTCAAGGTCAAATAATCACGCTAGGTCAATTAAGGGCCAAGTTATAGAGCGGAAGGAAAATATGATCAAGGTCAAGGTCAAATAAAGGTCGCAGTGACCTGGTTTTGGTACGCGACACACCTCCACAAGATGTGTAAGTATACCAAGTTTGGTCACGCTAGGTCAATTAAGGGTCGAGTTACAGAGCAGAAGGGAAAGTGTCTGCGGCGGCGAGTGAAACCATAGTATCCCCGACTTTCGTCGCAGGGGATACAATTACTATGATATGTGGAAATGTAATACAATAATGTTTTTCTGCATAAGCCCAGCATGCTACTCAATGGTTATGTTACAGTTATGGTAGAGTTATAATGTAAAGCAACTCACTAATCACAGCAATTAATGTAAGATAACTTTGTTTTTATTGGTAGTCAAAATGTAATAGCTTACATCTTAGTTGTTAACTACCGGTACTCCAAGAATTGCTTCTTGCATTGATGTGTATTCTTTTACTACATCTGTTAGGAGAATCTGCAGGGAAGATGCACTTTATGGTACAATTAAACCTGACAACAGTGGAAGCACATGTAAGACAATCATTACAGCTATAGCTAGCTCATGCATTGTTAGCAAATGCTAAAACCATGAAGCAGTGGCCAGAGCAGCAAAAATATAATGACTACTTTTGAAAAAGATAAAGAGTTAAAAATTAAAAGCTCAATATACCTTGAACCCATACGTGTGGCCAGGTGAAACACCTGCTCCTTGGTCGGCCCACAGGCATTCCGCTTTGTAGGCAGTCCTGTGTCCACCAGGATCAGCCACAGCCATGTGCCTTTTGCTTGTAGATTGTGGTGGCGGCCACGACCATTTGTTATCCACATAAACAAAAGACGTCACATGTCCTTCCAGCCCTATAACAGTATAGTTCAGAAATGATAAATTATAAAGATTTTAAGGGCAACTATAATATCTGAGAAGCAATAATATTGTAAACTATAGTGTCACACCTTGAACTGATAGGTAATTCACATTAAGCGTTGTTATAACAAATGAAGAATGCTAGCAAAAAAGTAATGAACATCCAATATGGCAGGTACAGTAGAAAAGATTGCTGCAAATTTTATAATTAAGTGAAAGATCTTATAATATGTATAATTAAGTAGAATGTCCTTAAATATTTGCATGTGAAAAGCCTGTCATGAATCCACAAAATACGTTTTCTGGCCCTACATGAAGCAATTGAGATTGGTGTCATCATTTAAGTCTCTGGTCCATTTAAGGGTGATACTCCATTAGGAGTGTTCCCAACTTTAATGTCATTAATGGTCATAATAACATATATATATATATATTAGGGTCATATATTAGTTTGTGGTTTAATGTCATTGAGGTTAGGGTTAGGGTTAGGGTTAGAGTTAGGGTTAGGATTATCAATCAATAATCATTAATCATTAATGATATCAAAGTTGGGAACACTCCTAATGGAGTGTTAGCCTAATTTAAAGAAATTTGTTGAATCAGAAAACAAGTGTACATTATGTTATATATGTACATATATACTGTAAAGTCAGTTATTTTCGTGGGTTCCAATTTTCGTGGTTTCAATAAACAAGTGCCGCGGAGCGACAGCGCTCATCTCACGTCTACTGCGGTGACTCTGTGGTGGAGTGGTGGGATTCTAGTAAACCCTGTTAGTCCCAAATGTGTTCACATACGCGCCAAAACAGTGGAAGGCACAGGGATGGTACAGGAACCTTCTCGAAGGAATGTTCGTTGGGATCGTTATGAAAGTGCCACGAGATAGCGCATACGTTTAAGTGTCTTAAGATTAAAGATGAAAGCTCCAATTGTACATAGTAGCAACAACTATTTGCAAGACAGAATAGGTAAGCACTCATCGATTTACCTACGCAAGCCTACAGGCTGAAATAGAGAGCTGCCACCTGTAACTAATTAACGCAGGCAAAAACTACACAGAACTATCACCACCACATGCACTGGCAGTGGCTACTGGCAGTGGCATAAGTTACTGCTGTAACACACTGACAGTACAGAATGCCATCGAAATTATACGATTTAAGGAGCATAAACCTTCTTCAACCAAATTTAGCTTTTGAAATTTCACTGTAACATTGTAGCCTCATCCGTCCAGGCATGTATAGATTCTACTAGCAAATCCGGCAGTCAAATTCTTTCTAAAAGTTAAATAAGTTAAATCCTTCCCGCGCCTTCATACGCATAGCGTATAGCTACATGGCACATAAGGCGGTGCCTATCTCCGTTTCAGTAACCCTGAGGCCCCGCAGCTGCTTTCACAGTAAATGCTACAGTAGGGGGTTAGTCCACTGGTAGCACTGCGAGTTAACTTGCCACACTCTATCTCTATTTGCTGAATGCTAAGCAGAGAAGCCGTGTGTACCATTTTTCAAGTCTTTGGTATGACCTGGCTGGGAGTTGAACCCCCCGACCTTCCACATACGAGGCGAGCACTCAACCATTGAGCCATCGCAGTGGTATTGCTGTGGAAATTCTTTCTAACAGTAAACAAATCCATGTTTAACCCTCCTCTTGAGGGTCAAAAGGTTATCCGACAAATCTGCCCTGTGCCCATTGACCTTTGACCTGTAACCTCCAATTTCGGCACAGTGATGACTTTTCCTACCATGATGCTATACACCGACTATCACGAGCCTAGGTCGAGCCGTTTGGATTTGTGCCGCAATTCTGCATTTTCTCCCTATACCTTAAGTTAAGGAGGGAATGTTCCCCCTTCTTTTACACCTCTTGACCTATGACCTTTGACCCCCAGCTTCGACATCCCAACTCGTTTTCGGATTACCCCCCCACGTCCCGACTTTAGAATCCGTACGTCGAGCCCTTTAGATTTGTGCCCAACTGTTGACGGACGCACGGACGCACGCACGGACGATCATGCGATTCTACAAGCTGCATCTGACTTCGTCGGATGAGCTAAAAATACATGTTCGTGGGTTCTTAAATTCGTGGATTAAGCCTTCCAATAAATTTGGACATATGTACATGATATTTCGTTGGGTACATTAATTCGTGGATTGATGTACCCACGAAATCCACGAAAATTAGAACCCCACGAAAAAAAGGATGTTACATTAGTAAAAAAAGCACATAACCTTACACCTTAGGTAGCTATAGATACCAAATACACGTAAAGTTTCAAGGTCCTTAGTTAAGCCGTTTAGATTTGTTTCACCATTGTTGATGGATGGATGGGTGATGATGGGCGCTAGAGCCATTTAGTCTGGTAGCTTATGCATTCCCGTGGGCATTTAATGATTAAAGCAAGAGACCTATGTTAATATCTTTATAATATAGTATACTATAGAACAAGAAAAATGAAGGTGGCAATCTGGGATATTGCGCAAACATTATTTTTATCAGCGATTTTATGAAACGCGTCGATCGCAAAATAGACAATTTTCCCAAAAATACAATTTTTTAAATAAAAAGACGATTTAAGCAGTTACAAACTTAATTTTGGTGTCAAAATGCAAGGAATGGATGGAAGGATCCACTAAAATAGTAACAATCAGCTAACAATTTATGACCATAATGATGACTTTTAGACATGGATGGCAAAACTATGAAAATGCGCTCAACGAATACTTCGGTTTCATCGTCGATATTGAACATAAATGGCAATAACTTCACAAATGTACAGTGATCATTTTTATATACCAAAATCAACCTCTATTATTCCCCTGATTAAAAATATTAAAAACATTGGCAAAATATTTGTAAAACATTTAATAATAATTACTAACATAACCACCCCCCTAGTGAAAGTTAATTTACGCCAAAATCGTCATGTGAGTTTTTCTTATATTGAATGAAATTCATACCATAAATATGTCTATAGAGTCCTTTCAAAGTCTTATATGTCAAACTGGGAACCCCTCATAACTCAATTGCTGCAGAACTGGAGCAAATTCAAAATGGCTGCTATTTTACCATTCATAATATACACACACATCGCCGATTAAGATTCATACCTTGTTAAATTACAGTTTGGCGAATAGCATGCAAATTGCAAAGAGTCATGACAAGTATTCACAATCATACTTGTCACTTTATTAACAATTGCCAACTACAAGTATGATTTTGTACAATACACAAGCTGCGAATAGGCATTCTTTACCCATCGTCATCGCTCATGGTTCATCATCATCATCATCCTGGCCAACATCGTCATCTGGCATGTTGTAGCACCATCTCCCCTTGAGCAGCTACAAAGTTCCGTGCATCGTAGCCCAGCCTTCCTGCACTTGCAGCGGTTTGATGAACACTTCGTTTTGGCACAGGAGCACCTGTAAAGTCACATATAATTGTGTCAAGTCAATGGCGTTAATAGCATGATTATACAATGCTAATTATATATGTCAGCACAACCATACCTATATGTATACATACATAATTTTTTGTACTATGTGTGTCTACATTCAAACATACATATATTGGCCAATGCTATTACCTGACGAGATGAATCACTGCTTCTGGGCAGGCGCAGCGTTGTCATGACAGGCCTGTACTGTCCTTCCACCAAATACCAGCCATAGTCATCAGGTGAAGGTAACTCCGGATTTGCCACAACGTCCACGCTCCAATAAGTGCCTGGTAGTGTGCCCTCATGATGGCTGCACGAAGAGCAGCATGTGTCGGTGGCACTCTCTGCTTGCGCTTGTTTCATTTTGAATAGGTGCCACCTGACGTCTGCAACAGTGGTGAGGTCATCTGGAGGTACAGTTTGCAGACATAGCGTTCGAGAAGATCCATCGTGGTCTCAGACGGGTTTTGCATTGTACCAAATGCTGCCCAAATGCTGCCATCTGCCCAGCTGCCCAAATTCTGCCATCACGTCTGGATCCATATCAACAGACTTTCCAGCATTCTCTTGCTCATTCCTGAAAATCGCCCAGTGATGTCTGCACCACTGAAAGCATGAAAGCCAGGGAGTGCTGCGACGGTGCTCGAGCCCAGCGCATCAAAGATCGGTTGAAGTGAAATGCTTCGACGCCTCTGCCCTGTTCCGGTTACAAGGTGAACATTTCGACACAACTCTGGGTATCGTCTGAGCGCCAGTACGAGGATATCAGTGTCTTGAGAGTGGATGCTGATGGACGTAGCACCTGCAGAGGTAGCCTCCTTGGCGGAAGGATCAGGTTGTGTCAGCTTCTTCCTGACTACTGGCCCGATGAGAAACGTCTCGATGGTTGCCCTTTGCTTGTCACGCCATGCCACAATAAGTGTTTCCTCCTGAGTCAGTTCATGCTCGAGTATATTTCAATGCCATGTACGTTGTTTGCTCATCCTTAGTTTTCACATCTGCGAGAGCTTCTGCATCGAGACCCTTGTGATTGATCTAGAATCTGTTATATGAAGGCTACAGGGACAGCTTTACCAAGTCTTTTCAGTCTTGTAGCGGACTTCAGGGACCTTGCGACATCATATCGTCGAAGATCAAATGAACTTCGTCATACTTTCCGAATTTCTGCCAGTGACGTTGTATGAAATGGTTTGCGACATGGGCTTTATCGTGTCTGGCTTGTCTAAGGACTGCAACTCGCACATTGCGTCGACGACAACAACATTTTGGATCCACTTTCATCATGTTGATTCATCGGGCTCAACGTCAACATCTGGTCGCCGTCGATGAGGTCCTCGAGGATCGCCATTAGGTCGCTCTTCGAACTGGTATGCAACAGTGCACCATCCGCTGAAAAGGGGATCTTGAACAACGGAAAACTCAAAGGTACCTACAGCCTCCTTCAAATTCACATCGGTCTTGATTGAAGATAACTATCAATCGAGCAAAGAGTGCTCAGTCTTCTTGAGTTCAAAACTTTGTCGTCAACTTGCTACTTTACTTTCGCCGCCGTTGTGGACCACATCTTGAGTTTCAGCTTTTTCATTGGTGCCCACAGATTAACACTGGCGTTGTGGTAATTCTTCATCAACGAATGTTGAAAAGCGCTGCTGACCAATCGCAGGCATGTTTGTGATATCTTGTTGAACTTGTTCAGGCATCACAGCTTTCGTAACCAGATTTATCAGCTGATTTCCGTCTTCTGTGAAAGGATTTTGAAATGTTGATCGTTGACATGAGAGCTTGAGCGTTCTGCTCTTGGTGGTGTAGTGCTGACTTTGTGAGTTTATGGTGAAATGGTCTATGGTGTACTGGTATGCCAGAATCATATGCGCTTCCTGTGCAGTCGAGCGAGTTCTGGTGCAATCAAGAGAAATCTTGCTCTTGCGTTGGGTTTAGTGTGATGCCGACCGATCCTCCGGACACCTTCATTAAACGATTGACTTGCTCTAGCGCATGGTCGGCATGCTCTTGTAGCTGCTCAGAGGGAGATGGGTGCGACAACATGCCAGATGACGATGTTGGCCAGGATGATGATGATGATGAACCATCGAGCGATGACGATGGGTAAAGAATGCCTATTCGCAGCTTGTGTATTGTACAAAATATACTTGTAGTTGGCAATTGTTAATAAAGTGACAAGCTATGATTGTGAATACTTGTTATGACTCTTTGCAATTTGCATGCTATTCGCAAAACTGTAATTTAACAAGGTATGAATCTTAATCGGCGATGTGTGTATATTATGAATGGTAAAATAGGCAGCCATCTTGAATTTGCTCCAGTTCTGCAGCAATTGAGTTATGCAGGGGTTCCCAGTTTGACATATAAGACTTTGAAAGGACTCTATAGACATATTTATGGTATGAATTTCATTCAATATAAGAAAAACTCACATGACGATTTTGGCGTAAATTAACTTTCACTAGGGGAGTGGGTTATGTTAGTAATTATTATTAAATGTTTTACAAATATTTTGCCAATGTTTTTAATATTTTTAATCAGGGGAATAATAGAGGTTGATTTTGGTATATAAATGATCACTAGGTTGTACATTGTGGAAGTTATTGCCATTTATGTTCAACATCGACGATGAAACCGAAGTATTCATTGAGCGCATTTTCATAGTTTTTGCCATTCCATGTCAAAAAAGTCATCATTATGGTCATAAATTGTTACTATTTTAGTGGATCCTTCCATTCCTTGCATTTTGACACCAAAATTAAGTTTGTAACTGCTTAAATCGTCTTTTTATTTAAAAAATTGTATTTTGGGAAAATTGTCTATTTTGCGATCGACGCGTTTTATAAAATCGCTGATAAAATGTTTGCGCAATATCCAGCATTGCCACCTTCATTTTTCTTTTCTATAATATATCATAAAGATATTAAAATAGATCTCTTGCTTTAATCATTAAATGCCCACGGGAGATCAATTCATGACATAAGAGACCACACTAATTGTTTAAGCTCAGCCAACTATATAGTGTCTAGTGCTGAAAAAGTACTTAAAAGTGCAGATTATTTTATACCTTATTTTTATACTTACCATCATATTGAACAGGTGGCAACTGGTGAAGACACCCCATTCTCCGTAACACACTCAGACCCACTAAAAATCAAAATCCCTAAATTAATAATTCCATGAAACACAGTTGAAGTTTGGTAAGGGATGATGTATTGATTGCCATTTCCTGACAGTAGATTCACAACTAATATTGTAACCAAATCCACACTTGTGATGATAATTGGACTCTCTTCATTAATATGTTTAAAGCAATGATCTCTTGAATATTTTAACTGCATTAAGATGTTACTGCTAGTGTAAATGATAACAGCAGGTGTCTAAAATAGAAGTTCTTTATGACTTACACAATGTAATGTTAAGATCAGTGTTTCCCCTGGCCAAAAAGGTGTGCGAGGCAGTAAATTTTATTTTTATTGATTTCTCGTTCAGTGTCCCAGCAAAGCGAGCGCTTTGGCGCTCGCCCAGCTAGGGTGTCCAATTTTTGAAACAAGTGCCGCGGAGCGACAGCGCTCATCTAACGTCTACTGCGGTGACTCTGTGGTGGGAGTGGTGGGATTCTAGTAAACCCTGTTAGTCCCAAATGTGTTCACATACACGCCGAAACAGTGGAATGCACAGGGATGGTATCAGGAACCTTCTCAAAGGAATGTTCGTTGGGATCATTATGAAAGTTGCCACGAGATGGCGCGTACGTTTAAGTGTCTTCAGATTAAAAATGGAAGCTCCCATCGTACGTAGTAGCAACAACTATTTGCAAGACAGAATAGGTAAGCACTCATCCATTTACCTACGCAAGCCTACAGGCTGCCAATAGAGAGCTGCGCACCTGTAACCAATTAATGCAGGCAAAAACTACACAGTACCACCAACACATGCACTGGCAGTAGCCACTGGCAGTGGCATACGGTACATGTAACATACTGACAGTACAGAATGCCATAGAAATTATACGATTTAAGCAGCATAAACCTTCTTTAATAACCAAATTTAGCTTTTGAAATTTCACTGTGACATTGTAGCCTCATACATCCAGGCATGTATAGATTCTACTAGCAAACCCGCACTCAAATTCTTTCTAACAGACAGTCAACACAATCCATGTTAACCCTCCTCTTGAGGGTCAAAAAGGTTATCTGACACTTACTCTCGCATGTCAGCAGAAGTAGATTTCATGGTCCTTTCAATAATGCCATAAAAATGCTAGGTCACCGCTGAAACAAAAAGCTTTTCAATCGCTCCGTCAGACCATGTCCTCAGAAAATGTCTAAAATCTGCCCTGTGCCCATTGACCTTTGACCTGTGACCTCCAATTTCGGCACAGTGATGGCTTTTCCTACCATGATGCTATACACCGACTCTCACGAGCTAGGTCGAGCCATTTAGATTTGTGCCCGCAATTATGCATTTCCTCCCTATACCTTAAGTTAAGGGAGGAATGTTCCCTTCTTTTACACCTCTTGACCTTGACCTTGACCCCCAGCTTCGACATCCCAACTCGTTTTCGGATTACCCCCCACGTCCCGAATATCGTGACCGTACGTCGAGCCGTTTAGATTTGTGCCCAACTGTTGACGGACGGGACGGACGGACGGACGGCGACGCTCGGCAACGGACGGGCAGGCGGAGCGTGGACGATCATGCGATTCTACAAGCTGCATCTGACTATGTCAGATGAGCTAAAAAATGATGCAATTCGGTGCATTCTTAACTATTCTGAACAGATATTTATAACACTGTATGTGCGTCTTGATTGTAGTAACACTAATTTCATCAGCGAGGCGGCCTTTTAGACAAATTTCTGCGTGGCGGCAGAGAATTTGAGCGAGGCGGCCCGCCTCGCCCGTGTCAATGCTGGGGAAATACTGAAGATTAAGCAGCACATTAGCATTGGTTAGTAAACGTTTGCATTTATAATTTTTGCTGGTGAGCCTCCAGACACAACTAAGTAATAACACAAGTGCACAATTATATTTATTTTTTTGTATTTAAATTATAAAATCTTTTTATATTTAAAAAAATATTTGCAAATTATTGAATCTGTAACAATATGTTCCACGATTGTAAAACAGTTGTTAAAAATGTAAGTTGCATATTTTTTGTACCATATGAGATTAGATATGCATAATGCCTGTCTGTGATGCCATGTTTGAACAGCGAGTTGCAAACAGTGAAAGATTTCGATGGCTAGACCCTGCTTATTTCTCGTTTTTATACTCTATAAATCTATGTAAGTTAGGTTTTCTATGATAAGCAGATGAATGGGAGTATATTTGACTAAGGTTAAATGATGTTGTTCATTTATGACAAATTTGAAGAGATCATTGCATGAAAAAACACCATCAAATATACAACAGTTAATATATATACTTACACTTCAACTTTTCAACCGGAGGAACTTCACACTTCTCTTGGGATGAACATGAAGGTGCTTCCTCCAGCTGTCTCAACCTTATTGATTTAGGATTGCTAAAGTTAGAATACCATTTACTAAATAAGTGTTTTTTAAATGAGTAGAAGTGCGATTAATAACTTCATTGCCCAGACATTCCGAAATGTATTTGTAACTGGTAGGGCATCAAAGCAGCTGGGACAGAGAGGTTAGTTTACATGGTCTGTAACTAGAGAGGCAATTGAAACGAGTTTAGCGAAAGTGCACAGAGAGATGACTGTTAGCTACACATCTTTGCTTACACATACAGCCTGAGGAGCCAGCCTAGAAATTTAGTGCAAAACTGGGTTTTGTACGAGCATCCATGTTAGTGAAGTAATGCATATTAAAATAGGAGCTCATTTTGCACATTTTGCAATTATTTAATCATAAAAGCTGGATGTCAGAAAAGATTCCTATGCAAATAATGTGGGATTTCGTAATTTTGTTTGGTTTTAAATACAGAACCTTTATATTGGTTTTGAAAAACCAAGTACACAGTTACTGTAAGTTTTTTTAAATTTACGACACAAGTTTATTGTATACTTACAAGCAAGTGTCCATATGCCTGCGAAGCTCCCCCATGATGATATCTACCCCACATTTCTTGCATGCGACGGTTACCGCAACACCCCTGTGGGTTTCGTCATAGGTTGCAGCATATTTTTGTCAAAATTAGAAAAAAAACTAGCAAATCATACATCACACACTAAAATTTTAATTTCTCTACGTGTTTTAGTAAGGTTCAAATACTGCAGCATAATTACGCATTGTTTTCTCATGGCTAAAGCAGTGCAACACTGACCTCACGTGGTGATGCGTCCAGATCTCCCTGTATCGGCCGAATATAACATGTGGCCGCATTAACACATGAATGCGGTGACCTTAAATAGTTGGGTGTATATCCAGTTGCTGGTAGTGGAATGACCTGCAGGCAACGGTTAGCACCACCAATGGACCGCAGAAGTTCGAATCCGTTTCTTTCTAATTTTGGATAAAATCCTGCGAGGACTTCAATAAATCCAACAGCATCACAGTTTTTGTCTGCAACAAATGTACCAATTTTTAGAAAAGCGTTTATATAAAAATTTGAGGAAGTGCAAGCTATCTGTTAGCATTTTTTGATAATCAAAATGCAACTTGATGGTAACTGATGGTAACTCTGACATATATCACCTGTCACCTGTCGGTTACACAAGTTGCGGACTTAACAGCCATCTTATAAGAAATATAGTGTCTTTATTGGACATATCTGCAATTATTACACTTGAAAACAACATGCATTGTTTTACGTATAGCCATTTTAGTGATGCATTGCATGTTAATCATATTTCAGTGTTTTTTAGTATTGCAAAATGCGATGTAATACTAGTTATTTCATCAATTGCAATTACCTATAACAATCATAATATATGTAAACATATGAAACATTCACATGTTCACAACATACCATACAAGTCTGGTTCAACCTAGCGAATAATCCATACAAATAAATTTACCTGAGAATGTGACTCTAGCCATCCCTAAACCAGCGGCTTTTAAATCATTTTTCTCGTGCTGGTTTGGAACTTTGTCGGTATCCATTTCTGCCAGGCAACAAATTTTGTGGGTCTATGAGTTTTTTACGGCAACCAGTATAGTTCCACTACCACCTTTTCATTTTTTTGATACGGGATGGTAGGGTGAGAAGTTGCGATGCAACTCGGAAGAAACTGCGATAAAATACATGAAACTTTAAGAAACCAATTGCAAACAATTTAACTCCCCAGAATTAAATTCAAACAGGGGGGAGGGGAGGGGAGGGGGAGGGGGAGGGGGGAGGGGGGAAACTAGGGGGGTCCGGGGGGCGTGTATTTTTACCGTACGACTAATTAATGCGTAAAATCGCCACTACACCATAGACGGTATTTGGGGTTCTTGTATATATAAGATAGCCGAGTCGGTGTACAGCAAAGGTTAACTGTGCATTGTCAGGTTAACTTGAATCATGGTACATACCGTTAGTTTGTTTTCCCATTTGACGTTGCAAATAGGAAATGGGTTTCTGACCTATTACCTATTTTAAAAATGAAAATAGAAAATAGGAAATGGGCAGATCAGAAATTTTCAGCTTAAAAATAGGAAATAGGTCAGAAACCCATTTCCTATTTGCAACGTCAAATGGGAAAACAAACTAATTCGAAAATGAGAAATGGGAAATAGGAAATNACGAATGTTGAAAAGCGCTGCTGACCAATCACAGGCATGTTTGTGATATCTTGTTGGACTTGTTCAGGCATCACAGCTTTCGTAACCAGATTTATCAGCTGATTTCCGTCTTCTGTGAAAGGATTTGTGAAATTGTTGATCGTTGACATGAGAGCTTGAGCGTTCTGCTCTTGGTGGTGTAGTGCTGACTTTGTGAGTTCATGGTGAAATGGTCTATGGTGTACTGGTATGCCAGCAATCATCTGCGCTTCCTGTGCCAGTCGAGCGAGTTCTGGTGCAATCAAGAAGAATCTTGCTCTTGCGTTGGGGTTTAGTGTGATGCCGACCGATCCTCCGGACACCTTCATTGAACGATTGACTTGCTCTAGCGCATGGTCGGCTCCGATAGCACAAAATGGCACTGCGTTTTTGTTCACAACCCAATTCCCATCCATAAATTCATCCCATAGAGTTGGATCTATCTGGGCTAAGGCTTTCATTTCTGCTAGATAGACAGGAATCATCCGAGCGTAGTTGAGCTGGTCGTGCGCAAAGTAGTATTTTACAAAGTGTTCGGTCTGACTGAGGTGGAGGTTCCAGTCTGCGGATCGTACAGCTTGGATGTAGGTGATCATATGCAACACCATGTGCATGTAGTGTAGCGTAGCCTGTGCAAGCGGTCTGGTGCAAAGTTCTGCGTCATACTCTTTCATCTTCTCGACAAGCCTCATAGTCTCTGTCGTGTCTGTCATGTGTTGATGTGACTCTCGCATCTCACTGCAGTCGGCTTCTTTGCACGCAATGTTCAGAGATTCAGCTGCTGCCATGCATTCATTGTGGAGGTTGTTGTTCTTGACAAAGAATTCCTCCGCATACATCTTGAAGAATGCCTGCAGTGTGAGTAGATGTGCATTGATTCCTCTCTTCACATGCTTTCCCTGCAAGATCTGATTGACTGTACAAGGACCATATATGTCACTTTCAATCCAGCATAAATCAATGCCGCTTTCCTCAATATACGATCCAATCGCCCTAAGTTGTGCCATCACGACGTGCAGCTCTCCAGGTCGCAGTATCAAATGCTGGAAGTCATCTCGGGACATTTGGAGTTGCTTTGCGGGCTTGTAGAGCCCCATGTCGAGCGTCACGACTGTCTTACGTTCCGGTCCTACAATTTTTGTGGTGATACCTTGGGCCTGTTTCAGGATCGTTAGCAAAGTCTGAAATTCATGAGCAGGTGCTGCAATCATTGGAGGTGTGTTCACGTACGTCTGTGGTGTTTCATTTCCAAGAACGGATTTGTAGGCAGCCCATGTTGGAATGTGGGAACCTTCTGTCCTGGGTTCTGACAGCTCTGCTTCTGGGTTACTGGGTGGCTCTCTGGTGTCTGACAGCTCTGCCTCTTCTGATAGCTCGGGGTTACTCCGTGGCTCTCTGTGTTCTGCCGCGACAATCAGAACATCACGTCTGGAGAGTGCTTGTCCAAGAAGCCACGTTAGGTGTGGCGAATGTGTTGCTGACAGCAGTTCTGGTTCCAGGCATGTGAATGCTGAGTAGCATGGACTTGGTGGTTTTGGTGCTTTTGGCATATGGCAAGGAAGCAGGCCAGTAATTGTGTTGGGGAGCTCTGTCAGTGAGCTAGTGTTGGCTTTACCATGCAGTTCTAACTTGTGGGTGACATCTCCTGGGTGGCATGTTTGATACACGGCCATCACAGTCCCATGCAGTGTTCGTTTTCCGTTTGGGGTATCCTCCGAAAAGTCGACGTTGTCCACTGCATAAAATACATGTCTGCCTAGAACAGCATTAGCAGGTATGTATGTACCATCATGCTGTATCATACGCTCTATAACAGCGTTTGCTATCTGTGTTTCCAGTCGGAGGAGGCGTTCATAGTGCACAGATACACCAAATCCATGTAGGAGATTGATGATCTTTTTACTTCTTATGGCTTGACGAATAGCCAGGCCGACAGCGAGCTGTTGTGGCATTTCGCGTTGTTGTCGGACTACACAAGACTGTGTACGAGTTTGACGTCCTGACATGAATAATGACACTGCTGTCTGAGAAAGATGTATGGAGTGTTTCTCTCCTGTCTCATACTTTCCGTTAGAAGTAAAGTTCGTCTGTTTGCCTTGGAGAAGCCACCTGGAGAACGCGAGGAGCTGTTTTGGGACATGTGAGTCGGTGAGGTCATTCAACGAGCCAGTGAAGTCCCATTTATCTGTGTTTGATATGGCCTTTCGTAGAATTGTAGCAGCATCAAACAGTGTCTTCATTTCCAATGTAATATCATTGACTTGAGCGTCACTGGCGTTGTCAATTGCCGCATCTGCTGTCGACTTGATGCTGACGAGCTCGGATTCATTCCTGCGAATCGGCTGATGGAACTCGACGTCAGGAATTTCTCTTTCAATCAGATCTTTCACATTCTTGCGTGGACAGTCAGCTTTGAGCACACTGTGCAATTTTCGAATTGCATTATAATGTACATGCAGTTCTGCCATGTTGAGTATTCGCCCATAGTGGAGAACCTCTGTCAACAGGCTGATGAATTCGATGTCAGCAGCTGCTTCTTCCACAGGGCTGCATGTTGATTTGTCAGCATATGCTTTGCGGAGAACGTTCGTCACATGTTTTGTCCAACACTTGTTGTGATATTGCGCGTCTATCGCATGGGCATCAGCAGTATCAATTGCAGTGTTCAGCTTCACACGGAGTTTCTCTTCATTACTCTCATCTATCGCAGCACGAAGGTTGTTACCGGCTATTTCTGTTCGGACTCTATGCAATGTAGAATATCGCGATCCTCTTTCGTCACAGAAAAAACATACCTCACTGTCATATGGGATGGACATAGAACGTGTGAATTTGCTGGAACTGTCAGGTGTAGGTATTTGAAAGGTTGATTTCTCATACACTTTTCTTTCATACCGTTCCTTTGCTCTAGCAGTCATCCTCACGTGCACGGTGTTTTTGTAGCAAGTGCTGTGCCACCTAGCTCCTGATAACATCAATAGTTCTGGAGTTACATCACCTAGTCGTCGATTTATTTCAGGGTAGTTTTGATCACCGTAAGAGGCTCTCTCTCGTACAAAACTTAACACTCGTTCATGTGCTGACGCTTTTTCTACAAGATTTTCACTAGTAACTTGCTGACATAGCAAGCAAAGGACAAAGTTAGTGCCAGGTCTGGCCACTTTGGCCAGTTTACAACCCAAAGAGTCTATGTTAGTCATCGTGCTAGCCACCATTTACCAGCCACCAATCAGGAGAAGTGAGGGCATTCATGTGATCATGTGCATTGCAGGCGTTCTGCAATCACAAGTATTAACCAATTATGCAGATGAAGTAACTTTTATTGGACTTATTTATTATTATATGAACATGTTATTTCTGTTCACGGTAATATAACGCATAACATATACGATTAATATTGCCTCGTGTGCTACACCTCTTTCCAAAATTATTTGACAGCATTTGATACATTTGGCGTTCCATAGACAGTGTCTGCTATGCGGTTTATTTTGACCTCCATTGTCAACATAGTACTAGAGTACTAATTACTAGTATAGAGTACTAATTACACTTATTGCTTTACTATCACATGGCTTAATATTCATGTTATCATTTGGAATAACAAATAAATGCTTTTGGTAAGGAGGAAATATGAAGTGACACCATTTGCATCAAGAAACAGCCACCTTCATATGGGTCATTGTTTACACTTTTACCAGTGCTGCAACCTGGTGAGTGACTATAACGGGTAGGTAAAGAAGTGATAATTTACTTTCTTTTTTTCGTTTTCTTAAATTAGTTATCCCAAAATATTTTCACATTTAATAACTTCATTTGATAAAATATATTGACATTACAGTGAGTTTTCTCAAATATTGGCGGTTGGCGTAAATTAAGTTTCACTAGGGGGGTGGGTTATGTTTGTAATTATTAATAAATATTTTACAAACATTTTACTAATGTTTTTCATATTTTTAATCAGGAGAATAATACAGGTTGACTTTGGTTTCTAAAAATGATCACTGGGTTGTATATTTGTGAAGTTATTACCATTTATGTTCAATATCGACGATGAAACCGAAGTATTTTTTGGGCGCATTTTCATAGTTTTTGCTATTCCATGTCGGAAAAGTCATCATTATGGTCGTAAATTGTTACTATTATACTGGGCCCTTCCATTTCTTGCATTTTGACACCACAATTAAGTTTGTAACTGCTTAATTTGTCTTTTTATTGGAATTTTTGTATTTTTGGAAAAATCGTCTATTTCACGATCGACACGTTCCATTAAATCGCTGATAAAATAATGTTCGCGCAATATCCCAGATTGCCACCTTCATTTTTCTTGTTCTATACTATATCATAAAGATATTAAA